GCTACAGTCGGGCGTTTTATATGCTGTCTAGGCCATGATCATTTACACTCTTCCTGTGACTTGTGCCCACTAGCACTCCCCTGTCTGTCACTACTTGCAGGTCATCTGGGCTCTGGCATTAAAGAAGAGTGAGCTTCAGAGTTATTTCCCTCCTGAAAGGGAAATAACTTAGTTAACTAAGCTGATACTCATTGGCTTTAAAATTCTGCCTGAAATTGTATGGCTAGAAAACTTTATTCTCCTACTCCAAGAGAAGGAGAAAATGCCTAACGTCATTCATTGGGCCACTGTCTTACTTATTCATGCACACTCTGCTTTCAAGGTTCAAATGGGTGTCAGTGTGCTGAGCATACTTGCCTGCTTGCCTTCCCCTTCTGCCCTTTCCCACCCGCTGACCGTTCTGGTGGGATTCTCAGGAGCAGACCAAGGACTGCACAGAGCTCCCAGAGAACTCCATACAGAATTTGAAGGAAACCCGTTTATTCTAAAACATAAGGAGCTGCACACGCATTTCTCACTATCAGGCTAGCTATCTGTTGTTCTGGCTGCTGGAGGTACACAAAGGACTTTTCTCCTAATAACTCACGTTTGCATTTATTCCTGGGAAAGTACAGTCACTCCGATGGAGGAATGCTCGATGGAAATGTCTGTCTCTTACCCGCAATGCTAAGTGCCTACCAGCTATGTACTAACTAATGTAACTGCAAGTATGGTGCGCTCTGTTGCTTCCTTCTGCACGCAGCCGTCCTGCTGCTTTTGGTGGGGGCTTCTCTCACATACAGGACTTTGGAGAAGGCAAAGCCAAAGACCTGCATGAAGATGAAGCAAAAGATAATACGGCTGGCAACTTTCCGCTCCTTTGGCGGCCTGTTCCTGTTCTGCAGCAAGCCATGTTGAGAAAGGCCTATTTTCTGCATAGACAAGTGTTAGCATTATGCTAACGTCAGTCTGTTGACAACGATGTTCATCATGGATCTTCAGGCAGACTCAGGTATACTGATCCCAGACCATTTAAGGATTAAAGAGGTCTTGGACCTTGAACATTACTTGATACTCCTTGACAAGTCATACAGCAGAATTCTCACTGCAAATGCCTGCCGCTTCACACAGCTGAAATTTGATAAGTGCTGCTCAACCACATAAAGCTGAAAAAAAGTAACCACTTTATTATCAATGCATTTTTAGTGCATTTCTTGCATTTACCATAGCAACAGTAGTTACAAAGGGCAGAAGGTGCTGCCCAGTATCATTCTAACATTCTTAGACTCTCCCCCCCCCCCCCCCCCCCCCCCCCCCCCCCACAACCAAAATCACGAGTTGGTCAGTAAATCACATTCTAAAAATCCCCCCCCCCCCCCCCCCCCTTCCTTCTTACCAATACTTCCATGTGACTTAGAGAATGTCTTAATGAAAACACAAAAATCTTCCTTGGAAAAACACAAGGGAAATCTCTATAATGTGAAAGCAAGGAAGTTACTTTTTGAAGATGGGTGGTAGTATCAAGCGTGTCAGGAGAGCAGACTAAAAACTGTCACAAATTCTTCACACCTAAAGTGTAGATTAACAGTGGAAAACCTATCAGCATGGGACTGCAACACGTACATACATGAAGAAAGCACCAAGCTAGAGCACAGCTGTGCACCCTGTGCACAGACGACTAGCTTCCCAAGTAATTCTTCCTGTAATTCTGTACCAGTGATCAAAAGGAGTGATTAGCTCTGGCCTAGTGTTAGTGTTGTCCAATTTAATTCTTGGTTGTGAGAGACAAACTAAACAAAATATAAATACTTCCAGTGTAATCCTCGTTCACTAGAGTTACTGAAGGTACAAATCCAGGAAAAAATCCAAAGCCTAAACCTTACACAGCCACAGCTGCATTGCAAGGAACAGGCACTGCTTCCAGGAAGACCTCAGTATGCTTACACCAGTAGCACGTGCCATTTGTGCAACATCATCTTTCATACCGAACAGAACAGATTTCTAACTGTAGCAGATTACAAAAGAAAACTGAGAAGTCAGACAGCTCTCACATATTTCCACACAGCTTCTTAGCAATTTACAAAGCAAAAACGGAGAGGGAGATTCAAGAAAGCCACAAACTCCCTCTAAAGTGAATCCACAGAACAGATTCTTTGTGGTATGCTAGAAGCGGTTCATCTTTCTGTACCTCTTCCGCTTATTCAGGGAGAGACAGTTTATGGCACACATAGCACGACTGCATGATTTTTGAAGGTTTTCCTGAAATGCGTGTGCGCGCATGTGTGTGTGTGTGTGACAAAAATGCCCTATTTAAAAGCCAAATAAAACCAGTACTTCAGAATCCCCAATTGATTTAATATTCTTTGAAATGGAATCCACCGATCCAACTTTGGCGCAATGCTTGCTCTTTAAAAAAGGAAGGAAAATAATCGCTATCAAAAGGCTAAATGCTGGTTTAAGACTTAATAGTTTAGAAGCTTACCTTGCAGCCTTCACATGTAATGACACCATAATGGATTCCTGATGATTTGTCTCCACAGATCTTGCATGGAATAATTTCAATTTGAGCTGCAACAGAAGCACGCAACCAGTTAATTACATTTTCTTTTAAACACCTTATAAAAGCATTCCCTGATCAGCATTTGTACAGTGAAAACTAATAACCTGCTAAACATTATACTGCATTAACTATTCATTGCTGAACTGCAGGGTCCCCTAGAGCTTTGGACTAAATTATGGCTGCACGTTATATAATAGCTTTTGGGTTATTAAAATGGGTCATTTGAGAAGGTGTTTAAGAACCCACAAGAAGGCTAGAATCAGCATTTCAAAGCCAAAAAGAATAGGAGGGTTCACGTTTTGGCTGAAGAGCTAAGATGACACTAGAAAGGTTTCTTCCCATCTTATTCCTGTAAGATCGTAGAAGGTAATTTTAAAGTTTGCCCTGCCTGAAAATGAATGCAACACCCTTACCAGAGGGGTCACCATCATGCCATCCAGTTCACATGACTGCCCAATCCGAAAGAGAAGTAACAAGGTAAATAGCAGCTACATTTTACACGAGAAATCCAGAATTCACATATCTGAATTGAAAGTGAATTATCAGTACATATTTGTGTATTAGCTACGACAGAACAACTAAGGGAGAAAATACAGCAGTATTCTAGTCAACTTACAAAAGCACGGGAGTCGGCGCAGTCTGGAAAATGCCATAGAGATATGTGATATGAAAGCCTTGATTTTTTAAATTGAACTTCATACATACAAACCAAAAAAAGTGTGTGACAAAACTCTCTGCATCTGTCTCTAAATCACAGGACCTTCCCATCTGAATACATGGATTTAAGAAGGGACTCTGTATGCTCAGGCATACCTCTTCAACTGCTTTTGGCTGCAGTCATTTTGCTAGCAAGTCTTTTTGGATAGGACCGTGCTGAGGCAGTGCTTTACAGTATCAAAGACCAGCAGTCCACGTTTTACATACGCTTGCGTGTGCTCACACAAACATAGGCTGTACGCATTAGGTAGACAACAAAAAAATCCCAAGAAAGCGCTTTCTCTGGTGCAGTGGTGTTAGGATTAGGCTACGTTAGTTTTCCTGAACCAGCTTAGTCCGAACAGGCGCACAAACGCAACTCTTGCTGTGTCTCTAACGGTGATATGTTAACAATCAGAAGTGCTGTTAATCTCCTGTGAGGAACTGAAATCCATTCACAAGATGCCCGATTGTTTCAGAGAGCTTTTATTTCATCCAGTTTATGGCTACCCAGACTGTGACAACACATAAAATCGCATCTAATACTGTCTTGCAATGCATTAGGTTTAGTTGTACGCTTAACACTGTTTTCAAAAAGTCACGTCCACTCTTACAAACGTTGCATTTGACATGCCATTAAATCCCTAACCGACTGCTTAAACAAGAATCATCTCCCAGTGCTACTGGGTACTCCATTTCATTGCAGCGCAACATCATAGCTCAGGATCAGGCCCAAACTATAAGATAACTATAAAGTAGAAGACCAGAAGACTTTTAGCACAGCACTGACTGTGCTAAAATACTCCTTCAAACTATTCTCCAGATGACATCAAACGCAATGATCAGAGCAGCCGAGTAGGACCCGAATTGTACCCATTTGCTCCCAGGAACCTAACAGTGGCTAAAATGCTCTGCTGAGGAAGGCAGTGCCCAGCAGCTATGGGACTACATTCCTGTTTTCCTGACAGTTCCTTATCAGCAGCTTTCAAAATATTTTCATAGAGCGGGACACCACTTGCATCTGCTTCCATCATAAGGATCTTTGCATTCCTGACCTTTAATCCCCCACCCTCCCTGCAGCAACAAGATGACAGGCTGAAACTAAAAGGGCTGATTAGGACACTTAAGGGAGGAAATACTTCTTCCCTGCAGTCCTCCAAAAACTGTTTTAATTTCACTTTGCTCTCAGCTAACACATTAAACACAATGGAACAGGAAGTGAACTAATAAAAGGGAAAAAGAAAGTGTATGCTATTTCATTGATGTGCTACATTAATTATTACTAGAGCATCATATATTTACGAACAAAGCTTCGAGCAGAAAGGGTAGCGTAACCCCACTTTATATCAACAAATTGAACAACAGAATGAAATTCACAGAAACTCAAAATTTGTATAACATGCAGTTCAAGTTCAGAGAGCAATCCTGTGGGCAAATTCTGGAATACATCTACAGATTCCCAGTTGTGCCTTTTCAATATATGATTATTTTGCTACTCTGCTGCAGTGAATCAGCAGCCTTCTCCAGCTGCTTTGACAGGGTAGTGGCAAGGCTTATCTCAACAGCTACATGGCGGTGTATTTTTTACATTTCACTTTTATATACATAATTACTGCCTTATTTTGAATAGGTATGATATAATTGGATCTTGTTTTTCTACAATCTCCAGCACATTAGTTAAATCACCCGTGAAGCCTGTCTATGCAATCCCTATTTCTTCAGCAACAGGACATTTGCAGAGTGTTTCTGAAGGAATGTAACATGCCTTCAAAGTGATGGCCTAAAGCTAGGTTACTAATAGTCTAAAAGGTGCCATGGTTAGTCCCAAATGCATTTTCCAGGGGGCTTTACTGCTAGAAGAGAGTCTCTGCAGATTCACAGGCTCCAGCTGTGCCAGCATTTGCTGACCATTGTGTGTATTAGCAATGGCACCAAATCAGGTATAATTTTAGAATTTCAGATTTCCTCGAGCTTACTGCATCTTCAAGGTACTTTCAATTAAGCATGCAGCATTTAAAACTTCAACTTATCGTTTCACTCTGAGATACAGGACAGCGGGATGAAACTCAGAAGCATAAATCGCTTGGGACTGCCACAGCCAATTGTATTACAAATTAATGCACAGAAAGACATCAGATCAATTACTGCTCCATGCGGTTGCCCTTGCAAATCAACTCACTGAAATGGAATCCCTGTCGCAAGTTCATACACTTTCCATATAGCATGAAAGGACTTAGATACTTTAAACTTACTAAATGCAAATTGCCTGTGCCAAGAGTATGCATTTTTCTTACAAGGGTGAAAATATTTTCCCCACTTTTAACTTTGACATGCAAATACGTACTTGCTAAAACCTTGTTCTTATGCAAACAAGGCAGGTGGGAAATATTTTTACATGTCAAGAATATGTTCCAACTTGGTTTCTCACATTCCCAGAGTTACTTAAAGCTTCCTACTGGGCTCACGTTAATTGTACCTGTTCTGTGCTTACATATATTTATATGGTACATTTTCCAAGATTATATAAAATACTCTAATTCATGCTTTAGACTAGAATTAGCCTAAATTACAGTTTACAATTTCTGTCTCCTGGGGTGGTGCTCAGGCTGATTCTGGTTCATGCATGAGCAAATTATTTCTTAAATATGAATTGCAGAAAAAATAAACTCTTGTGGTTGCTTAGAAACCGCTACAGATACCCAGGTGACAGATGTAGTTTGTATTCCCAGATTAAAGGCCTAAGAATCTTTCACACCCTGAAATAACAGTGCTCCAGAATACTACCACGGATGTCCTGTGCCAACGACAGCAACGAAAAGGAATAAAAGGCCAAACAAAGCCCCAAGAGCAACAAATGCAAGCTCAAGCACAGAGACCCACCACAAGCATCAAACAAGTTGCTACAGAAACAGCTCCTGAGAGGGAGAAGTGACCATTAAGGGCCGGAGGTAGTAATCACTACGAACTGATGTCCAACACAAGGCAGACTCGTCTCCATAGGAAAGGGCATCTGACATCCACTAAGATCTCTCAGTATATGTGAGACTAGCATGTAGCTAATCCTATAACTGGAATGTCTGGTAATCTTCCTTCTGCTGTAACATCATATGATCATCATCTTACAGAAGGAAAATTGAGTGCAGACTCTTTGATTCGCTCAAAATCAGACAGAACAGGAACTTGAGCCCAAGTATTACAGGGAAAAAAAAGCCTGTGTTTTTCCCCTGAACCTTTCTTCTTCCTCCATCCACTGTGTCTTCACTTGGCAATTGTCTGAAGTAGCTCTGGTATGCTTAAATTATATGACTGCCTCCACCTAATTCCTATTGAACATGCCTATCAGACAACCAGAGAGAGCACTAAATGACAACTTTTGTTGGCATCCAGAACAGAAGAATATGCCTTATTCACTCCTACGCCAGGCTTCACTTCTTTCCCCAAATCTTGAACAGTTTCACCGGGCTTGCCTACCTTTTTCAAGCTCTCTCCCCCAACCAATCCCTCTAGACAGCCTCTCCCTCTTTACTAATTCCCGCATAATGAAATGCTGCTTTATTCCTTGTCTGGTCTGAGCAGTAGAGGAGGAAAGAAATCTAATTCTGTATTTGTAAGGAATTGCTCTGTACAAGCTCATCATAATCTTTAGTTTCTTCCTTTCTAACTCCATGGGCAGACTCCGGCCAGGACAAGAGCCCACATAGCCAAGTAAAGCATGGGGCATCTTTCTCCCCAGTTCTGCCATTTACGTGGAAACACATTGAGCCTCAACAGAGGAAAGTGTATTAGCAGTCCACCCTGAAGAAAAAAAGCAGTTTTCAAAGAAAAAATTATGTTCCAAAGACAGAAGTTTTTTCCTCCCCATTAGTGTGTCTGAATGAAATGTTTTTTTTTTCTAGTGAATTAATTGTCTTGGGGTAGAAAAAGGATTTCCCCATTCCTCCTCCTGCTTTCACACTGTTATTTTAAAATTGTACATTCACACAGACCACATTATTTTTTCCAATTTGCAACAGGTATGAAACCTCAGATTTGGTATCCTGGAAGGGCTCTTCAGTGGAAGCAAAAATTGGTCATCATTCCTGCCTTTTAAGTGAGATTCACCTAGCTGACCTGAGCCATCTTGAAAGTTGGGTAATTAGCTGAAGTTAATTGTCTTGTCTGCTTCTAGAGTAATGAGGAAGGGAGGAAGAAAGAGAGAAAAAAGAAAGCGAAGGAGAAGGAGAAAGTGAGAAGGAAAAAGGGATAAGGGACATGCTTTATCTAATTCAAGAAAAGCGAGATGAACCCCTGAGTGGAGATGCCTCCTCTTCAC